CCATTAACTGTTACTGTTGCGCCATCATTATTTTCAAAAAAAGTATGGGCCAATCACATTGGAAACAGTTATTCCGCACCACACGTCGCGAAGAGAATGCAGCAGCCTTTCTTGAATTTATTTTGGAAAGGGTTTTAGAAAGGGTTTTCTTTCGAATAAAACAAGTTTCAATATCCTAGCGTTAATAGTTTTTGTTTTATTAGCAAATCAAAAGGGTCAGTTACTCTTGGGACACCCTGTATATTAAGGTCATACCACAAGAAAGGAAGAATAAATTAAAAAGTAGAGCGTTGAAAAGCAGAAATAATAGGAAATACATATTCAAATAACCAAATATTTGCGCATGATAATGAAAATGACAAATACAACCACTAGGGAAAAACAACTGCGCAAAGGTACTTAAAAATGGGCGTGCAAATAGGTCAAAATTTAGAGATTAAACTAAAACTATGAAAAATAGGCTCCATGGCCCATTTTTTGAAACTCATAATAGCTTCTAATGCATTGGGAAAGATAGTGCAGTACGATAAACCGAAAAGCAACCGTATATCGCTTAAAAATTAAAATGAATTTGAAATTAAGTTATCTAGAACTAGATCTTAAATTAAACTAATAAACCAATTAACAAACTGAAGACGAGACTCAAACCATCAAAACTGAAAGTTATCACAGAAAAAGAAAGATTTCCGAGTTTAGGGGTGCAGTAGTAAACATAACTAAGCCTATTAAATTACAGATGGCAGGTATAGAAGTGTATATATTTCTGGAAGTTGGGCAACTTTTTGCCACCCAGTTTTATCATCAGTCTGCCGCAACTATCCCCTATTTTTCTAGACCGGATGAGAGGCGACGTTTGTTGGGAAAAAAGTGCCGCTCAGAGCATGCGCGCGTTTTTCGTGTCATTTGACTGCGCAGCGTCATTAAAACCGTGCGTCTGCACCATACAAAGCTGTCTCAACACGTACCTTTAACGATAACCTTGTATTCTCCAGTGCCCGGGTGTTTGAACACTTCCACTTGAACGTTGAGGAAGCCGCTGGCATCATCTGGAGTCCCATTTTCTAATAATCAAAATAAACAAAACAACGACCGTCTTTTCATCAAATATCAAGAAGGAAGAAAGCAAACTGAAGTAGCCGGCAGGGATTTTAAAACGAACTTTCTGACCAGCATTTTCGTGGTCAAATTTCCCCCCGGCCACAGAGACGCTGCAGTGCAAAAGCTGCGCAAGTAAAAGTCTGGTGATTGTGCCTACATGATGATGCGCACATCGTATCCAAATGCAGAGACAAAAAGACCCGAAGGCAGCCGAGATAATTTCGACTTGTTGCCTCTGGAATGTGAAGTAGCCTGCGGCTGTGAGCAATGACGCACTCCAAAATAGGTAAAAACCGTGGCACAAAAAGGTAAAGCAACGAGAGAGTGCAACTGAAAATGACCAGTGGCAGTCCGTGCTCAGCCCCACTGCGCTTGCCTTCGCTTGCCAAGCACCGAGTACTCGTGCGTGACGACCTTCCCCTCCGCACGCTCTCAGCCAATCACCGCTAGAGTTGCCCGCGTTGCCCTCTCTACTTCCCGCTCCCGATTGATCCGCTGCTTGAGGCGCACGCGTAAGTGCCAAGCCAATCAATATGCGCGTCATTTCATTCGTTTGGCCGCAGGCGAAAGAGGACAAGTTCCGGATTCCGGACAGCGAACACAATTTTCACGAAGGCAGCTAGCGCTTGGCAGAGTCCCCTTGTAAAGCTCCTTTCTCACAGTAAAAGCTGGTCCAGCCTTCTCTGCTTTCCCTGACTTTTGATTTGGGAAAACTTTGACGTGTTTAAGCTACCGGCTGACTTATCAAAGTGCGGTGTCATTGCGTGCAGACCAGCTGGCCACGACAGCACGCTCTAGGGGGTGGGGGGTGGTCCCAGTTCCACCTGAGAGCACTTTAATACAGTCTGTCGATGGATCCGAGATTCAGACCTCAGGCTGATACGAATCGTCGAATACTGGGTTCGGCGTCTTTCACCTTTAGTACTCAGCTGCGCGAAGAAGAGCGCCAATAGGAGTAAATTGCATGAAAATCTACTTGTCGTTCATACTGTGCAACATATCTATTCGTCACAAAAAATATGACGGTGCGATCACTGGGCGAGCGTGTGTATTTGTCATAACAATCGACTTCGTACTAGAGACTGGCTTCAGAGACGATAAGAGGGCTAGCAGAAAAAAAATGGGGTGGGGGGAGGGGGGGCGTCACAGTTGTGGTAGATTGAGTCCACGCCCGCAACTTCTCACGTCGTCGTCACGGCGCGCTTCCTTGACAGGGAAAGGTTACCTACTGGCTCAGATCGCTACCCACACCCCGGAGGAAGGCCACACATTCAACTTCATGGGCACACGGATAAGACGTGACGAGAACTACTGGCGGTTTGGGTATCCGACTCCAACTCCATCAACAGACATGGACATACCATCACGCCCTTCCTTCGCGCGGCCAAGAAGAGCGGCCCAAT